GGATGGCACCTTCCACGTAGGAATCGGTGTAGGGTGTTCCATAGGTGAATCGGTGTAACCCTGTCCTGGCTGTGCCTGTGCAGGGATTCCCTGCCAGAGTCAGCGGGCGAGCAGAGGGGACCCTGGCCTCAGGGACCCGGGCGGATGGCACCTTCCACGTAGGAATCGGTGTAGGGTGTTCCATAGGTGAATCGGTGTAACCCTGTCCTGGCTGTGCCTGTGCAGGGATTCCCTGCCAGAGTCAGCGGGCGAGCAGAGGGGACCCTGGCCTCAGGGACCCGGGCAGCACTGGGCAGGGACGCTCCCAGACAACAGAGGAAAGGGAAAATGGAATCGGCACTCACCATTATTAATTTTTTTGGATTATAATTTCATCCTCAAAGAGGGAATAAACAGAATCAACAAACAGTGATAAAGAAGTGATGTCTTGTCCACTGCAAGAAATGTATGCATGTATCTCCAAAGAGCAGGCAGACAAAAGTTTGCTTGCCCTTGAGGGCATGGCAGGCAGTGTCGAGGGCAAGCGCTGGGCTGGGCTAAGGTGGGTGCCTGCTGATGGGCTGCCCTGGTGCCCCCAAGATGGGTGAGGGAGGGGTCACTCTTTGGCTGAGTCATCCCCGTTTTGTACCCCGCGTGGCCATGGTGAGGGGCTGCACAGTGCCGGTGTGCCATGGACCCTGCCCCTGAGGCTGCGTGGTGGCACTGCTGTGCGCTGGCATGCACTGGCCCGTTGCAACTGACCTAGGCCTGGCTGATGTGTCTTGTGGTTAGGTATATCTTTTGGGGACCTGTTGCTCCCTGACCTTCCCCAGCCCCGTGGGCAGTGTGGGGAGCAGCACAGGAGGTTGCAGTTGTAGGATGAGGAACCCAAGCCCTGTCACTCCCACATGTGGGGACCGTCACTGGAGTGCCCTGATTGCTGCAGGCAGGGTGGCAAGGGGAAGGACCAGCCCCTCGTCACCCACCCAGTGATGCTGTGGATGGGGTGTGTGCGTGCCAGAGCAAGAGGTGCCCCTGTGCTGCTAGTGCTCAGGGATGGCTTTGGTGCAGTCCCTGGGGGTCACCTATTTCCTTGTGCTCCTGCTGCCTGCAAGTCCTGCTGTCACCTCGCACTCCCTGTCATCATCCTGCCTGCTCCTGGGGAGCGCTGCCCTCTCCCAGCAGCCTGAGAGTGGAGCTGCTGGTGCTAGACAGGGCAGAGCCCAGCCTGTGCCCTGCTCTCCGTGGCTGCCTCTGCCAGTGCAGGTGTGCTCTGGCCCCATCCAGAGTTGGATGTTTCACTCAGTGAAACCAGCTCCATGTCCTGCTGTGAAGGCAGAGGCTGGGGGCTTGGAGCAAGGAAGGGGTCAGTTTGAGGCCCCTCCCTTGCTGGGGGTTCACCCTGCGGGGCAGAGCTGTGGTTGCTGGGTTCTTCCAGTCTCACAGAGGGAATGTGGTGCATGCCTTGTCCTGCTGGTTGGCGCAGCCCTGTGCTGCAGGACAAGATGGGGAGCAGGTACTGCATGTTTGGCTGAGGATGCTGGGTCTCAGGAGAGCTGGGACCAGTGCTTTGCGCTGCCTCGAGTAGTGGTGGCTCTGGGGGATCCCCGTTTTCCCTGGCACCCGGGGCTCTGTGGGGAGCAGCACTGCGGCAAGGCACAGTGGTGGTTTTGGGTCAGATATCTGTGGGCACTTGTTGACAGTTTGGCTGGTGCGGTTGAGGTTCAGTGGTAGTGGGTACATGGACCAGGTGGCTTTCAAAAGAGGTGTGAGAGGTGTGCTCTGACCCACAGTACAATGTCATCCGGTTCAATAACCCACTGTCACCAGAGGAGCTTGCCTGCAGCCTGGCGAGAGTGGTGGCTGGGCACCTCGGTAGGGGTTCATGCCCAGCCTGAGGGATGGTTGGACTTGGTCTGGTGTGGCTGAGCCATGCTGGTTGTTCTGGGGCAGTGCAGCTTGGAGCAGAACAGTGGAGGGAAGCCAGGGCTGTGGGTGCCCAAGGCAGCCCTGGCTAGTGCAGTCTGTGCCATCCTTTGCATTGCCTTGGCTCTGCTGGGACCAGGGGCTGAGCTCAGCTGCCTCTGTCCTAAGGGATGGGCTTCTCGATGACTTCTGGTAGCTGATTTAAACCCGTGTTGGATGTAAAACTGACAGGCAGCGTTTGTGCCTTCTGCTCGTTGGCCAAGAGCCAGGAAAGCTCCCACCACACAAAGGAGTTGTCGTGGCAGGGCTGTTCCTTCCCCCCTGGCGTGGGGGGGGGGG